AAAGTTAGAATCCTCAGCTTTTAGCTCCTTAAATTTGAATGTTTTCTGGTTTCTTCTTTTTATTCAGTGAACTAATTATCTTTGGGTTGTGGACAAAACAAGACATTGGAGAATTTCACCTTGGGCTTTCTGAAACACTAACATTTTAAAGACCAAACAACTAATTAATCAAGAAAAGAAATGATAGTTTACATGACTTTAAGAACCATTGTTAGTTGCAGCCCCAGTAGGTCTTGCGTAATCCTACTGAGAGAAACACAAACAAGCAAATGAAAGCGATGAAAACACTGACTTCTTGGCTGAGGGAATCATACTCAAAAACAAACTTGGATTTAAATGATACTGTCGCACAGGGAATTTGCATACAGTACCTGGAGTCTGCATATAGCAGGAACACTTATCTTCTACAGCCGTCGAGGCAAACACTGTTGTACAATATTACTGTCAATGATAAATGCATCCTTTGCTGAATTTTTGTCAAAGGTGACAAAGCTTACACTGGTTCTATTTCTGTTTGAAGAACCTTCAAGTGAAGCGTGTCTAAACTTGTGAATTTCCTCACAAAGCCCAGCAGCTGTCAAAGTACAACTTGTTATTTAAGTATTTTAGTTGATTTCAGTAGTTTTTTATCTTTTACCAATTTCCTTGCCGCTGTCAGTGCCGTTTCCAGCAGTGAGGCTTGCTCGCTTGATTTCATGATTACACGCCTCTATAGAGCGCACCGTCTGAATGAGAATGTGTTTAATACAGCTGCCGAGGATGGTGTAGCTCCAAAACTCAGTCGAAAACTTTGCCTTGGAGAATGAGGCCATTAACCTTATTCAAATGACCCTGGACTAATTAACATTTATCTCATTCCATTACATTTATAACTGCACATGACTGACCTCACTGCACTGCTGCCCACTGCCCGCCACATCAGTAGGAGAGCAAAAATTACAACCAATATATGAACCAATTGATAATCTAGTTACACTCATCTACTGAAGAAATACAGCACCTCATTTTCACGGTTAATTAGACTTAATGATTAATAATTCGATCGTTCAACTTTCATATGTATGATTAAATATATAATAAGAAGAATATAAATAAAATTGCTCATATAACATCATCTTGAGAAAACCGTGGAGTATTTTGTGCAACATTTCAGCGAGATCGCCCACTCCTCTTGACAAGAAAAAACAAAACAAGATATAATCCATTTTCTTTAGAAGACCTGGTGATCTGCAGTAATTAGAACACAGAGAAACAAGCAGTACCCTGAGGTCTGGGACGAGGACAAAGACTAGACAAATACAATAGCACAAAGAAGCAATCACGAAGCAAGAGGGAGGTCTCCACATGGACAAGGACTGTAATCTGCTTGAGCAATAAACTATTTGTTCCATCTCTCGCACAGTGTCCTGAGGGCTTTCCTGTCTGATGACTAAGGAGAAGTCATGCTGGTGTTGTTTGAAATAAAGACAGACGGGTAAAAAGTTAGCCAGTACTTTGATAAATAAATCTGCATTGCCACAGTTTTCAAAGAAAGAAGGTATGATCAGGGCTAAGTTTAGTGATATTCTTTATTGTTCTTCTTATCAACACATTTAGTGAAAAGGACAAAACCAACAATCAAACAAGTAAGGCTGGACGTTACGGTCAAAAACACGATGATCATCATCATATGGATTAATACTGATAATTATCATGATAATGTACACTTAATATATACGCTATACTTCTGTGATTAACACTGTATGCAAACACAACTTTTCAATCATGGGTAAAGGTATGTTTAGCTTGTTACAGTTAGAAAAAATTATTATTTTTGAGTTCCTGACTTGATGCTTTCTGCAACGACCTAGAACATTGTGCAACAGATTATAATGATCTGTGAAACATACTGGCTATTACACAACGGTACTGAAAAATGGATTTATTTTTATACGCCACACAATAACACTAAATAAAAAAAATATATACATTTGAAAAAAGTGTCTTGGAAAAAACAGACAAACTGTTCTAGGTCTATCACAGCCTCAGTAATGTCTGAAAAGGCTGTAAACAAAAACCTGCAACTGTATTGTTTATATCTATGGAACATGAAGTGGTGAACAATTATATGCTGAGTCACAGCAGCATGTTGGTGGAAAACCACCTGTGGTGCTGCAAGATTGGTAGGTTGGAGGGAAACAGCATGCAACATAATGATTGCGACCTCATTATAAGCCCTCCTGGTAAATATTACGTAAAGTGTATGCCTGGTTTATTTGTATATGATAGACTGCATCATCCTGTTCCATACATTGCAGCATCACCGTTGCAACTTTTTGGTGAGACGGCCGTAGCGTTCTGTTATTAACAAGACAGATGATAAGATTATTCAGGCTATGATGGCTGGATAACCGTAGCCACATCGTAAGACTAGCTTTCATATTACATATTACTTCAGTAAGTAACACAATAAAAGAAGAGTAGATTATATATTTCATTCAAGCACATTTGCTTCCTTTACATTGCCAGTAAACACAGACAAAATTGAATTGATATTTGCCCGTTTATTACAGCACTTAAAAATAGATATTTGATGTCAAACGTGTACTGATGTGACAGTCTGATTGCCAACCAGAAGGTGTCCTACAAGCATCAGGAGACACCTGCCACTGTAAGACGCCGTCTGTCGGTGGAATACAAGTGACATATGCCACTAGACCAAGAGTGCCACTTTTTGATCTCCATCTCTCTTTTTTTTTTGCTTCGTATATGCTTGTTTTTTTCGGATGGCGGATAAAGTAAGTTTCTTTTTTCTGCAGGCACAGGTTGCCGGCATATTTCCCATTATACTGGGTTGAATTACAGAGGCTGTTTGACCTCTCTTTATTACAACGACCTCTTCTTATCTCTGACTCTCCACACATCCAGCCCTGTGTGTTTTCTCATTTGTTTTGGCCCGACACTTGTACGATGTGTAACCATGTTGCAGCAGGCTAATAGGGTGATTGTCCAGATGAGGGTTGACCCAAACAGAAAGGACACGTTTATTGTAAATGTACATAAATTTGCACCTCAAAACCCGTCATATGAAAACAAATCTCCCAAACCACTCTCACCATTTATCATACCTAGAAACTGTAAAAACAGGAGAAAAAGTCAAATATTCAACTTTCTTAAACCAGTCATATGTGATGTGCCGTTCTGTCAGAGACTTAACTAAATCTAAGCTAAAAATAGTGATACTTCACCAGAATCACTCGATTCCACATCTCGGTTTAAATGTCAAGTTTTCTTCGTGGTTGTACTGTTTCCATAGAGTTGCACAACCTTATACTGCAGTGAAAAATTAGCCCCACAGAGAGTAAAAATGTGATGGGAGGAGAAAACATCCAGAAATACTCGGGGTTCAGAGGGTTAATTGAGGGGATTTCTTTCTGGTAATTATCAAGGGTGCTTTACCGCCCAGCCCTACTAACAAGGGCTGTATGTATATCCACCGCCTTATACGATATATTGATTCCCCTGTGTCATCCAGCTCTATTGTTGCCCCAGCACTTTTAGTCTCACTGTCTATAGGCCAGACATTAGGGTGAACATATCCTAACCTTAAAACCAGTGATTCCTACAAAAGAAGTCAGGACGTCCCCGAAGGGTTGCGAGTGAATACTGAGGGAAATTTATGAGATGATGAACAGAAACAGGATATTCTTGTACTCTTTGATTTTTTTCTTCTTCTTGTGAATTCCTGGACAATTCTCTTTTTTTTTCAAATAAGGAAAGTATCACTTTCTCTGCCACGGTCGCCAACAAATGCATTATTTCCTCCTGTGACTCATATTTAAACATTTATGCCAGTAGGAACCAGTGAACCAGTGGGCTTGGGACTGAGTGCCACGGACAAGCTTGGCAAGTCAGAAAGTATTGAGACACAAACTAAAGCATTATTGGTTTTGGTCTCTCCGTGGGATTTGTTGAAAATAACAAATTTGGGATATTGCCAGTCTTATGCAGGATGGCCTCATGCAGCACCTAGCAGCGAGAGACAAACTTCAAGAGAAAGGAAGGGGGAGGGAGAGAGAGTAGTGAAAAGTCCCCCTAAAACATGGTATGCAGTGAGCTGCCTTACACTGCGGTTTATACAAAACCAACAGCAGCTACCCCAAAATAAATCGATTCTTTCCCCTCATAGGGACGATCGGAGGTGTAGAGAGGAGATGACAAACAACCCTAGCAAGCATAATGGTAAAAGCTTATGCAGCTGCCAATGTCATCTTGCTACTGTGTGATTATTCAAAGGGGATGGAGATAAGTGGCATGCTAGCACCATGGAGCGGAGGGAAAAAAAAGACAATGGAGGTAATGTGAGATATAGCAGCCGGATTACAGAGAGGAAACACGGTAACGAGCTCAAAGCTTGGCGTCGACTAATCTAAATCCAACTATTATGCTTTTTGCGGCCTTTTAAATCTGTTTTCTTTGAACCAGGTGAATCATAACCTTTTCTTTCTTTCTTTTCCAGGGATCAGAAGGCCTCACAGACCCATATGAATATACAAATGCACTTAAATAAACACACATAAACACAATCCCACTCACTTATGCTGAGGTGTTTTTTGGCAGTGGACATGCTTTGCCTGAGGTTTGCTCTGTTTGCAGTTGTGTGGGTGGGTAGGTAACCTCGGGACAAACTGTTGTGCTTTAGCCAGAAACCCGATGCCCTGAATAGCTTGGGGTTCAAGTGTTGTGTTAACTTGAACTAGTGACTTTCCGACTGTGATGAACCTGTTAGATGGAATGTCTTTGTCAGTAATGTCTTCATATTAAATAAGGTTTTACATCCATGGCTCTGCTGCTAGGGCTCCGGTTTGAACTTAAGATGCCTCTCTCTCATTTGGTATTTCCAAATGGCATACACACAACACGCAGTAAACCCCAGTGTCCGTCTTGCGGATTAATTTTCGTCTTGTGGCCGGCCACTTATTAGGAGCGCATCAACTTTTCACTGACAGTTTCTCATTGTGATGTAATTTTGCTTGCTTGTTCTGCGTTTTGTCCCTCACTTGCCTAAAACCCAGCATTGCACATCATTAAATCCTCCTCAGAAAACAATGACAAAACCCTTGTCTCTGCCACTGCTCGAACAAAAACTAATTTATAGTAGAATTCTTGACGTCGCAAAACAAATTTTGAAGCCATTTGAGAGCCCTGGTGCTCCCCAAGCGCCCAGGCGGACACCTCTGAACCCATATGCTCTCTGAGACTTGTTAACGTCCATTTAGCCTGACCCCTGACACTACCGGCCTCAGTGAATGTCACCATATCTCACTAATGATGTCCTGGGGCCTTGGCGCTTGTCAGACTACATCAGTCCTTTATTCAGCCATTTTGACTTGGGCTCTGGAAAAGCAACAGAGTAGTCCTTGGGCACTACTTGGCAGATCTAACTTTAGTACAGATGGCCCGAATCTGTTCTCACTTCTTAACTGGCCCATTTATAGCACTAGTCAGGTATCTCTTAAGATGCTTTTAAAGCAGCAATTACCAGTGCTGCCTCCCTTGTTTCCAGTGTATCACAGCGTGTTGCTAAGTCCAGTGGCTTACGCTGAAAATAGACGGTGGCTGAAGCAGATGGGTGCCCACGATTATGCTGCTGCTCCCTGGCTCGATAGGTGTTTGACTTTTCTTGCTTGCCAATCAGTTTGGCTCCGTTGCCAATTGGGAAAATGTTTTAGCACAAAGGAGTGGATTGACTTCTTCTTCTTTTAAACACAATGTCAACATCGTGGCAGATTTAAGGGCTCAGATCGAAGGATGCACGATTCAGGTTTTTTTTGCTGATGTCAGACATACTGACTCATTTTGGCCGACCGTCGATGCCAATATCGATATATGCGCATATTATTATTTTTTATTTAATTAAGCATAGAATTAACATCTTCTTATGCTTACTTGACAGAGGCAGATATAATATACAATGCTTTTCACTGGGAAAAATTAATAAACTACTTTAACGTGTAAAATACGCCAAATTTATTTGTATGTAACATTCTGAAAAAGAAAACTGTACCTATCAGTGTTCATTCGATGCTATTTTATTCCATTTTAAGGCTTTTTGGCCCAAACCTATGGTGGCCGACGGGGGCAAACGACGTGCATGTACACAAACAAGCTGCATATACATGAATGTGTTGCATAAACAGAAACAAAATGCTGCATATCCACTCACACAACGGAAGTGCCCCAGGCCTCTAGGGGCAGTAGTGACCTTTCCACCTGAGAGGCGGACAACGGTGAGCGAGACAAGTCACGTGAGTGGAGGGAAAAACTAGCCCAGTCTCAGGGCAATTCATGAAATTGTCACAAAACTTGTCTGCCTCTCAGGTGAAAAGCTCACTACTGCCCCTAGAGGCCTGGGGCACTTCCATTGTGGGGCACTTCGGTTGTGTGACTGGATATGCAGCGTTTTGTTTTTGCAGCACGTTTCTGTTTATGCAATGCATTCATGTGTATGCAGCTCGTTTGTGTATATGCACGTCGTTTTCCCTCAGCGGCCACCATACATACCAATGATGATGCCGATATGATCACGCTTCCCAAGTCACATCATTGAAATCATAAAGAAACATGTTTTCATTTTTACCCATAGTGGAATGTATCTTGCCATACAAACACCCATGGAGATGGAAAGCAAAGTTTGTAGCACTCAAAGCATGAAATCATTAAAAAAATAAAAAAACAGCTTGCAACTATTTCCTAGAATGTTTTGTAGATGATGAGGAAGAAAACTATTCACAGTGAGGTTGGCGGAGTGCCTCTATTTATGGTTACCAAGACCTCCATGACATTTTGCCCACTCAGGTCCGAGTATCATTTCCTCCCCCAGCAGCTGAACAAAAACTGGAAAACCCATGAACACAGCCTGAAAAAGGCTTGGCATTCTTATACTTAAAAATCTAGCATATTAACCTTCATATTCATCATAGTTCTTGCCTCCACACACAAACTGCTGTGGCACGTGCAGTACATTAAAAAAACTGTGCGCGCTTCGTTTCCTTCGAAATCTCGTTTGTGCATTGCTGGTTAAATAATACAACCCACGTAATGAGAGCTTCTGACAGAGAGTAAAATTGCATTCTTCACATAGGCTTGAGGTATTAGCAAATCTTTTCCTGCTTTCATAAGGCAGAGATGTAATAATCTATAAATTTCACGTTTAATTACCATTTTTATGCAGAAGGAAATGTTTTTTTTAAACATTATATCTACTGTTTACTCAAGCCTTATTTTCTCTGTGGCTGATGTGCTTTGATCTGGAGGATGGAGATGCATATTTAGCTGTAATAAAGATTAAATGTAATGTTTATATTATGAATTAGTGTATAGGTAAATAAAGCATACAGAATTGTTCCAAGCCAGGGCATTAACTTTATGGTACAAAGAAATGCAAGACTCTTTCTAAACACAGATAAAGGTTCTGCTCTTGTAGCCTCTGCAAAAATCACTGCCTACAAGAAACAAACTTTCCTGAATTTGAGAAGTTTAATTCTCTTTGGATTAAGAAACAAAATCAATACTGGCTGTTTTGATTGCCAGATACCACAAGACCTTTCTCTTGCGCAGGAAGAGTACAAATACTGTATAGATGTAGGTCTGGCTATGTGAGACTGCTTATCTCCTAATCCCTGGTAAGAAAAAAAAAAAAACAACTTCCTTTCTTCATATTGGCACTTCTGTGCTAACTGAACTACATCTGGTCCACACAGAAACTGAGATTTCTCAGAATTATAGTATGCCAATTATAAACTGGTAGTTGGTCTGTGTGCAAATTCAGAACCAGATGTTCAAATGAAGATAGCAGTTAGGTTTTCAAATGTGCTCCTGTTTTTGGATGTTAGACTGATTAATGCCAGTTTTCCTCTCTAGTTAACATAAGTGCAAACAATGATTTCAAAAGACTGGAGGAAAAAAAAGCAAGGCCAATCATAGAGACACTCCCAGCTGTTGTGTTGGTTGGGAGCATCTATTTTGCATATTTACAGCTGTGGTACCTTGGATTGGGTCACGGGGACAGATGGAAGGACGAGTGTGGACTGCAAAGAATACAGAGTTTGACAATCTGTCATTGACGCTGGCATCGTTTTTCTCTTGTGATAAACACCGTCTCTGTGTGTAATCCAATCTGTCTTTTGGCCTTTTGTTGCCAACATGGAGTGCTACAATGAGCTGTGCGAGAGCTGACAACAGTCCTACCTGTGCTTCTTTTTCCAGTCTGATGTGCATCCCCTCATGGCCAGACAAAGCCCTCTTCTCCACGGCATGATGCCTGAAGTGATAATAATCTCCAAAAACCTGCACGGACACAAAGAGAGAGGCAATGAGTTCACCTGCAGCAACAGGATGGCCAGATAACACTCTGTGCTCACCAAGGCATTCATGTGCACACAAGCAAATGTGCAGATTGTGTTCATCTCGAAAGCAGGCGAAAACAGACATGTTCATCGGGACATCAGACATTTCCTGGCCGCGTTCGAAACAAAAGGAGCATTTGTTACTCTGCTGGTTTGTACGAATGTGTGCGTCTTTTCAAATGATCACATATAAAACGACTTTATTAACATCCACCTCATATACCGTGAATCTTAGCTGCAGAAGTGCTGTAAAAGCCACCTTAGATTTGTGGTCTCGTGTCTGAGAACTGTCTGTTATTATTATGTAAATGAGGTGCTAAAATTTCAACAGGCAGCGCGGTGTTAGATACCTGTTCGGTACGGATATCAACAGATCCTCGGATCATGTCTAGGCTGTTTAGGAGGGATGATAAAAGAGCTTGTCAGTGCCACACAGCAGCAAAAACCAGAGTAACAGAAGCTAACCTGGAAGTGAAAGAAGTTCAGCTCTCTAACAGATTGGAAAAAATGTCAGACACACGCAGAAGTGTACCAGTCTAAAGACATTCATTATACGACTGCAGATGGACACCATCATAAATGATTAGACATGTCCATTAGAGCTATTCGGAAGCATTCCTCGTACTGCTGTCATTGTTCCCTTACACGTCCTACACATAAAACAGCTTTTAAAGACGAGTGATTGGGTGACAGCTGTCACCAAACTGCCCTAAAACCTCAGGGGATGCTTTCTTTTTATCAGCCTTGCTCTTAAGCGACACAAGCAGCAGCCTGAGCCTCGCCTAGTCACATCCAGGACAGCTGACCCGAGAGCAAGATAGAGACTAATTAATAAGGACATCCAGGGATAAGTGTGCAATAAAAGATAAAAATAACCAAACAAAAGATGGAGGAACATGAAGAACAACGCAGCCACTCTTTGCATGGGTATTCACAAGGGAGCAACCTCCATTTGAAGAGGAAGAATTGCAATCTGTACAGTAGCGCCACTGGGGACTGGCTCACCTTCACAAGCCCAGTGGAGCAGAGGAAGAGTGGAGGGGGGGGGGAGAGGAGGAGGTGGGAATGATGGAGGGAGGCGAGGGTGGGAGGGAGAGGCAGGGTTTGACAGGCCGACCATGCAGGATGGATGTGTGTGAGGAGGGAGAAGAGCAGACGCAGCAGGATGGAAGGCTCTCCTGGGGCTGCAGGCTGATTCTGCAGGCAGGCTGTCTGCGAGCAGACCAGACCGGAGGCTGAGGCTTAGAGGCCGAGTCTGGCATCACTGATATAAAAGCTGCCATCCTAGCGACAGCCAATTTGACTTCATTTGTCAAATAATTGTAATTAAGACTTGATTTTATTTCGCTTCTTGTGATTTTTTTTTTTTTTTTCCCCACAAAACCCAGTCTTAATTTACTCAGTTATGCAAAAATGATCTTTTTTCTCCCTCGGAGTTCACACCGCGTTCAATTATGGGTAGAAAAGATGAATAAGGCTGATTTGTGAGGAGACAGCTTTGCAAAAGGACAATCCTGACATGATTAAAAAATGTGGCGCAGGAAAGAAAAAAAAAAAGTCAATATGAAAGATTCTTCACTGATTTAAACTGTGTGAAATAGCGGATGTCTGAGTCACGCGAAACCTGATAATAATCATTAAACTCCCAGATAGCAAGCGGGAATAAACATGCCAAATAAACAGTACAGAAAAGTTCAAGTAATATCGTTAACACTACACGCAAAGACGATTTTACAGACTGTTGAGCCAGGTCCTCGGCTGATGCTGACTTTATGACATCGTCATTAAATTAGACAATCAGCAAATGACCTTACAGACGCCGGGTCTCAAAAATACCATCAATGCAAAAAAAGGAAAAAAGCCGCTGAATGATACGCGACTGAGGTGTGATGAAAGATGTGACCCAAGAAATTAATGAGACCCACTTTCACATTGATTGCAGCAGGGCAGAAAGCTAATTTTGTGCTGCACTGGGGTGGCTTTTCTGTGGAACAAACCTATTTCCTAGAGTGCTGATGTCCTCATTTAGACCAAAAAATCTACGGGTCTTGGGAAATTGAGACGGAAATGTTGGTGTAGCGGCCCATGTGTGCGGCTGAGTCATACTTCTCCAAAGCCTTAACTAGACTGAATCATATGGGGTGTATATGTGTGTGTGTGAGTGTGTGTGTCAGCGATAATAATTGAGAGCACTGTAGGTCATTAGTCACCCTGCCACTATGCTCTGAGTCTGCATTAGAGGCTCGCTGCCCTTTACACCCCTCGCTGGGCAGTGCCAGAAGTTGCTATCTCATGTGTTTCTTACTTTAGCTGGTTTTGCTCCCATTTTCTTCCTCAATACCTTGATGTCGTCTCGAACTAAATGTTTAAGAAAGAGGTGTGCATCGGAGGTAAAACGACCTATGGAACAATGGCGGCAACTAACAACTATTTATTCACATACTGATCGATTAAACAATAATTTTCCTATGTTTTTCAGTCAGTATCGTAAAATTGTGAGAGAAAAAAAAATCCCAGAGCACAAGGTGATATTTACAGATTGCCTACTTTGTCTGATCGATATGAAACAAAGAAGAAAATCCTTACGTTTAAGAAGGTGGAACCAGCAAATCATTGACATTTTGATTTTAAAATGATTTAAATGAGCTGCTTCCAATTAGTGACCACTCAATGTTTATTTTACATAATAGTCTATGCGTAGTTCTTGGTCTTCACACAGAAGACTATTTTGAAAGGCTCTGTGGGAGAATGGAGAGAAAATGTGCCAAATGTATGTTCTGAAGACATGCCCACAGGTTTCTCTCTAGTCAAATCTAAATCTGCACATCACACCGGAAGACCTGGAGATATTTTACCAGAGGCCTGTATGCAGACAAACTGGGCCAAGTATGAAGTACAAAAATAAAGACAGCACTGTTGACATCAGCAAGAAAGTCTTCTAAATGAGTTTAATAAGATAGTATATGTGACTGTACTAAGTAAAAGGCAACAAAAGCTGATAGAATTTTAATATAATCTTGTGAATTATGCGAACAAGATGGATTTATATTCAGGAAGTTCTCTTATAAATGATTTAGACATCATATTTTAATAAAATACATATTATTAACTTTCCATTTGATGAAAAAGTACATTTCGGTAAAGTGTATCCTCTAACATTGTGGAGCCGGGCATTGTGAGAAGAAGACTTATCGCAGTAAAAATATCCTCATAAATGTCAGTGATAGTAATGTAATTCCAGTAGATATACCAAATGGAACATAATAACTCACCATTTTTACTTTCTCTGAGATCTGAGCTCCAGAGCAATCGACAAGTGAAGCCTACATTTCTATATTCATGTTATTCATCTTACACTGTGAAATCCACTGTGACCAGAATTACCAACTTTTCCATTCCTGTTTCTTCAACATGAAAAACCCAGACAGAAGCAGCCTAATGGACATTATTTGTTCAAATATGTTTTAGTTAAATCAGTTCCAATGACAGAAGACATGTACATGCTTTGTTTCCCCTTTTCTTTTCCCTTGTTTTCCTTTAAAGCATGTATATTTATATTTTTATGACAGCATAGGCAGTAAAACGCACTGCCTGCTCAGCTTCAAACCGCAGGGAGACACGGTAAGTAGCTGTTGAATATAGTGGAGCGTTTAACAATTAAAGAGCCAGATATTTCCCTCTGGAGTTGGCGAAGACAAAAAAAAACAGAGCTAGAAGATAGCGAATATTGGAATTAGATCCACAAGATGGACAGAAACATGATTCTAAATGTCTTGGAATGTAATATAATGCAGCTAAAATGTAATATTCCTGTAATACAAACATTGCACATGTCTTTTTTTTTTTTTTAAATAACTTTGTAGCTCAAGAATGGCATGGATAGGTATGCTGCTTGGACGAGAATGGATTCTTAGTGATGATAACCTTGAAAGCTTGAAGATCTGTTTTGATGAAAGTCAAGCCTTTTTAACCCTGTCAACATCCCATACAGTGTACTTCTATATGCTCAAAGACAAATTCCGAGCAAAATATGCAATCAATGCCATAGCTGAGCATTTCATTTTGCAGTCCACTGACGGCTGCCTAAGATGCGTGGATTCAGAGTTTCAAGGTTTATGTGTAACAGACCTAAGAAACCAATGCTATCAATGTATGGGGCTTTGTATGGTTGAGTTACTTCAATATTAGAACCTGCCATTGAGTAGCAGTCTTTGAGTGTTGATGTGGGGTAGCTGGTGTGCTCGGCTGCAGCAGAGGAAGGTGGAGACAGAGGTGGATTTGTGACAAGGGGCGAATAAAAGTCCCAAAAAGTCTGCACAAAAGACCAAATGCGACTGTCGCTTCCACAATGGGACAGCCCTCTCTCGTGGTGGACTTTGCAGGAGTCCATCTGTGAGTGTGCAGGCTCATGAGCGCCAAGACAGATCCCTCTGTGTTATTATGCTAATTAGCATTTAGCATGGAAAAATATTCCTCTATGTCTCCTCATGCTTGGTACCTCCTGTACAGCCACAAGAAGAACTCGAATTATGTGACTGTTTTCGACGCGACATTATTTATGAACTGAGATTTGTCTAAATTGGGTTCATCTGATGTGAATGTCAAGTATTTCAAGCATGTAATTTGAACAACTTTGAACTTGCAAGAGTGTGCTCTTGTGTGATACAGACAGATGTGGGAGTCTACACGTTGGCTGAATTTGACTGCAACTGACATTAAGATCGCTTATCAAAAGCTTTCAGTCAGTCTGAGAGCGATGTGAGGCATCAAAGAGGCATCAAGCAGTTGCACTTGTTTTTTTCTGGATTCCTTCAGCCCACTCACCACATCAGTGTTTTTACTTTGGGTTTTTATTCCTCTAATAATCCTTTACCTGCCATACTCTCTGTACCCACCACTCACTGTTGGGCAATGACAGTTAAAAGACACTGTTTACCGCAG